GGGCAATCTAATTGTGAAGCAGTAGGGAGAGAGAAAATGCAAAACCCACAAAAATAAATAACAGCAAATAAAAAACAGACTATGAATGGTGACCAAGTAGTAATTTAGATACATAAATCTAAACAAGGATGCGATGTATTTACCTTAGAGGATCCATTCACTGGTTGTATGGCTCCATTAAAATGTCCTATATTAGCAACCCCGCAATTATTTGCGACATTCGTTTCTGTATCTTTATTGTCTGGCGGAAGGCTGAGTTCAGAGGGATCATGGTGTCCTTTGTCCGATTGGTCTCGAGGCAAAATCTGAGCACGCTTTAACTGAATAACTTGTTGGCGGAGGCGTTCGCTAGTTGCCTGCTCTTCTTTGAGAGCATCCAGGCCAAGCCCTACAATGTTGCGCAGTTTAGCCAATTGAGACGTTAGCGCCTGCCTAGTTCGCATCTCGTCACTTAACTGGCTTGTGAGCCGGACCATATTGGCTGTCGAAGCAGAGGTTATCGAGCAAGTGGTAGTGGTCGGATTAGTAACTAGAGAACCTGCCTCAGAAGTTGTCTCCTCTTTGTTAATGTCCATGCATCTCGGAGATGATGTAGAGGCGGTTGCACGAAGCTATGTTAGTTAAAGAAGATATTTTTTAAATAATTACAGATGAAGAGCAAAGTCGTGTAGTATAATCAAGAAATTTAAGCTTACATGAGAAATCTCGGTCAAAGCATGCTCTTTAGCCGCGTTTGCTTCGGAAAGCATCGCTTTAAGATTTTGCAATTCTTCTTGATGCTAAAAAATAAACACAAAGGCATCTTCTAAGAAAGATATTTATTTGCATAAGTGAGAGGAGAACGGAAATGCTTCCCCAAGATAAAGAAGATTAATGCAGTGGGAGAGACAATATTCAGTCAAATTAGTTCAAAAAGACTAAAAAAACATATAAAAGTAAATCAGCAAATGAGAAAGATAAAAGAATAAATAAAGCTATATATAAATTAACTTCATGCAATTACAAAATAAGATAAAATTCATAAGGCATTGGCAAATTGATACGTGGGTATGATAAGACCGTTTTTGATCGCTTTTTAAAGTATGTCATACTTAGCTGCTAGCACTGCAGATAAAAAAGGCGTGCATATCAGCCTG